CTGAAGACAGCCGTGTCCTTCTTAGGTGTGTGGCTCGGGAGTTTTTATTTGGCTGTAGCTGAAATATAGTGACAAGATTTAGTACAGAAGATGTTGGTTCCCGATACTTGCCAGTGTAAAAAAGACTTTGGGAGACAGGATGAGAAGATCGGGTCTTTACTACGTCTTTTCAGTCTCTGAGGACCTCACAACTGCTTTTTCCACATTTATGCTCTGGTCTTTCCATGTCTATGCAATGTCTCTGAAGTAGGGGATTGCACCTAAGCCCATTTTATTCATCACAAAATCCAGGCACAGAGACTGATACTCAGGTACTCAGTGTCACCAGAAGTCTACATCCCACTGATGGAAATGAGAAGGCAATGTGAAAAAAGACCCTAAATCTTCACCCAAATGAATTGTTGCACATGTAGTGAAAACTTACAGATGGTGACAGCACACAGCCTTTCACTACGGACCCAGTGGTTTACCAAGTGGGCCACTACTGATTTGCAACTGCATTTTAGCAGGGCTCTGAAATTGTAGATGTGTTGAAGACAGACGATCAGAATGAATAATTCCGAGTTGTCCAAGGAGCATGATAGTAACAAACTGCTGCTCACCACTTTCTGACAGCAATTTTTTTCAGCAGCCATTTGTAGGACTCTGTGAAACCCTTTGGCAACTCGCTTCTAGCAGCCAGCAGCTGAAACCTCCGAAAGGCTCAGCTCTCGAGGATGCCTTTCTTGCACTAACCAAGACATAAATGCAGCTGTATAATGTTTGCCTTACCTGAATTGCTGCATTGACACACTGTCATCTACAGATTCTGTCAACTCTTTACCTTCTCCATCAGTTACTACCAGCGCTGAGTGTTAGACGCTGACTCAACGAGGCAGAACATCTAAGGTTTTACGTCCTGATGTACAACTATGGCTCCAAATCGTACCGATGACTAGAAAGCACCTAACCAAGGGGCATTTCATTCGACATCGGGCTGTGCATTCAGGAGCTGAAGCAGCAGCAGCAGCTAGACTCCGGGAGGAGTGACGGCAGCTTCCCCTCCTGCCTCGAGCGGATTTGGGTCACCGAACTCGGGAGAACAGCTGATCTGTGTGACATGGCTGCCACACACAACCTCTTTCATAACCATGGTATTTAACTACCAGCCTACGTGGTCATCCATGCAGAAACTGAGAAAATACATACACGACCTGTGCATTTTCTTTTTCTCCTGGAAAGAAGAGGACAGGCTGGGATTGAGATACTAACTGAGACTTGTTACTCGTGATAGATGTTAGCAGAGTTCTTCATCACTTACGATGGCCAGAATGTTGAGATACTAACTGAGACTTGTTACTCGTTATAGATGTTAGCAGAGTTCTTAATCACTTACGATGGCCAGAATACTCATTGCCTGAGTTGCGAAACCACATCCTTCAACAACATCCTTCTTCTGCGTTTGCAGAATTATAGTAGGTAACACAGGGTGAGCATTTGGGGCTTGAAAGAGCGAGCCACACTGCTGTCTGCCATGACTTTCTTCAATTAAGGCAAAAGAAGAGTTTGAGGCCCATAATCCTTTTTCCTGGAGCTGAACGGGCTGGGGACAGTAGAGCAGTGACTACATGGGAGCAGCAAACAGCCACGGGTAGAACAGGCGACTACATAGAGGACAAGTCACAGGCTCTAAGTAAAACCTTGGTGTAGGCAAAACAGCCACCGAAGATCCACTCTGAACCTTTCTTGTATGTATAGCATATCATACCTCGGCTGCACGCAACTTTTGGGACTGTCATTTGTTAGTGAAAACAGGCAACGAAAGCACATGTATCATTTCTCTGGGAATTACAAAGGAAGGAGGACATGAAGCTCTGGTTTGTCCTTCCCACTCACAGCAGTTCTGGTGTCTCTCCAGCATAAAGGTCAAGGCCAAAAGCTTTTTCTCTGCCCACAAAGAGGGACACTAAATTTGCATTTCAGTACAAAATTTAGAACATTTACTCATCACAAGGAAGATAACTGATTATATGGGAGGGATTATGAGTTTAGTACCTTTGCTATTCCCCTGCGTATGACAGACAAGGCAGTCCTGCATTCTCAAGGGAAAACCAGGAGGGAACTAAAAGCTGATTTATCTCTGTGTTATAACCCCAACACCCAGCAATGAGTTTTTAAAAGGCAACAGTCCCTGGGGAAGGAGACCAACACACAACTTATCTGTCCTAGACAGTCTACTGCTGTGTTCCTGAAGTCTTTGCATATGCGATTGCCCCGTTTGTCAGGAACACCATAAATTTTATAGTTCAGTGTGTTCCTTTGCTGCTGTGTTTTCTGTGCTCTAGGTGGGGGAGGGGGGATCAGAAGTGCTAAACTTTATTCATTGCTCAGGATCAGAAAGGAAAAGATATCCTAGTACTGGACACAATATTCGAAACTGTGACATTTATGAAATTGAGGGTTTTTTTGCAACAGTACGACAAATTCTGTATTTAAACAGATCACTCCCACCACACAGAAGCAGAAATATAACATGCCTTTTGTTCAGAGATTTACCATGTTTAATTATTCATTTTTTTCAGTAGCTTAACCATGTATTCAGTTAAATAAAGTAATAAACAAAAGTGTTCAAAGTGAGGCAATATTTTCTTTATGTTATTCTTAAATTGTGATCAGGTATCTGTGGGACACGGAAAACTGAAATTCTAACAAAGTACATAATCTTTGCTTCTCTAAGAAAATTTAGCGCCAAATTCTGCTCTCGGGTAAATTTCTATAAAGCATTGTCTGTAAGGGCATTACAACACAAGGACATATTTCTGGGTTTAAAAAGTGCAAAAGATCAGGAGCTGTTGTCGCATCTTAAAGGCTCAGCAGACACCAACCAAATGGAAAGCTGGTGTCTGGCTCCAACACACGCCGCCCCGCTGACCTCGTGCAAGCAGACGCAGCGTCACTCAACTCCAACAACCTGATTTGAACTCACTAGAGTGTAATTTGGCTGAATTTGGGTTTTTCCTTCTGTTTGCCTGCTTCAGCGAATGAGAGCACAATTTGGCTCCTTTCTTGGTGAAAAGGAAGCCAACAAAACACGACTTTCACCAGGCCTCGGGTTTCGGCCCCAGATTTCAACATACACTATTACAGCGATCAGAAGAACCATAGAAGTCACTTATCATTTAACTGTTCCTTAACACATTTCACACAGTCCTGCGGCGAGCAGAATCACAGATGAACCTCAGAACATACAGAGAGCACAACTACTACACTGGACATGAAAAGGAAATTTTATTAAACATGTTTACATAACATGGGTTGGAAGTTCATTTAAAAGCACAGGGGAGTGTTAAGACAAGTGGTCAAAATAGAAAGATACTATCGAATTATAACTAGTTGGTTTTTGGCCACTAAGACAGAACAGGATCTAGTAGTAGTGCACCAATGCTTGAGTTCTTCCTGCTCAGCAGGTCGAGCAGTAACCAATCCGCGCCCTATGGAAAGATGGGCAGAAGAATTCCCACGTGTTGAGTAATAATAAATAGTTCACTTGGTGCAGGCAGTATGTCTATGAATTAAAACCTAGTGTGTACACAGTTTCTACGTGTGTTACAGCCCCACAGTAGGAATCTACACCAAAATAGTTATTAGAAGGAATTTGGTCCGTACTACATCACGTTTTCCATAGGGTAAAAAATAAAGTCCATCTATAGACATTTAGCACCAGACTCACAGACCTAGCCTGGCTAAAACCTGCAAAATGTCTATAAGAAAAATGGATGGCTTAGATTTCTTGGTTACTTCAGTATAGTAATTACGAGCAAACTGTACAAGTACATGCAACATACAAGCTGGCCTATGTGGAACTAACATACATTATTAAATAACCTTTTTCATCTCTTTTTACAAAACGTGCATGCAGCTTTGAACAGTTCCAAGTCATGCTGCTCTAGTTGTGTGATCACAAAATCGAATGGCCTGTAAAAGGAGGGGAAACATATCAACGCACCTGCAGGAATCTGCAGTTGTTCGCACATTTACAGAATATCACAAGGGATTTCAAGGCCGAGAAGAACTCAAATGAATAAAAAGCAAATTGAAATTTGACTTTTTTTTTTTTTCTCCAAAAAGTAAGACATCTTGCGTTAAAAAATCAAGCCTTGTGCTTGCATCAATCTCAAAGAAATGTAAACTAAAATTTGATAAAAACATTAGTAAGTGCAGAATATTTCAACTGGAATTTCCAGTGAAACACTGAACAACTCATACCATGCTCTATCCAGGGCACAGACCGGTGCATCTGAAGCGACACACGTCAGAGAAGCCTGGGTACAGCTGAAAGTGTCATATGCTCAATCCATTCCTGGTCAACATTTTGGGAAGTCAAATATACATTTATACACAGAAACGTAAATATTTCCTCTCCATTTCTAGGAGGAAAACTGCATTATCAGTAACATATTCAATGTCAAAATTAAGACTAAAGCTGCTTTATACCAGTCCCCAGCAGTAGTTGCAGAATTCTTCAAAATTCTTCCATGCAAAACATCATAAACATAAAAGTTATTATCTATAATGCAAACATATCTGCTTTTTACAAAGAAAAGGTGGCACTGTGATGATTATTTATTTTTAAGAATATAACTTTGATTGGTCATGTGTTCTGGGTTCCCACGTGACAGACTGGGAAGTACCAGAACCGAGAAACGATCTGAACTCGCTGGAATCGTAACTGTGGCTGTTGAACACTTTAACGATGCTCACAGAGATATGCTTCAGCCCTTTTTTGTTTGGTTTAGAAAAAGAAAGGAAGGGTCTCCGTCAGCGCTGTGAGGACTTTTAGAAAACTAGCAGAATCACATGGCAAAAAACTAGTGGAAGTGACAAGTACAGAAAAACTGTTGAAACACCAGGAAGGTAACACTGCTTGAGGGCTCTGTCAAAATGTGAAAAATACAACATTGTTAACAGAGTGAGAGCTTCCAGTTTGGCTCGTCTTTGACTTAGGTCGAATCGAAATGTCTCTCTCTTTTTTTTTTCTTTTTTTGGATTGTGATAAGCATCGGTGATAGCCGCTAATAGATTGGCCATATGCGATACACCTTTGTTCTGTCAATTTAAGCCATCTCTCGACAGACAGACATATTTTTAGATAACTACTACAAGCAAAAACAGAAGTGATTGTCTCTCTCCAACAGTGTTTTTTGATCATGTGAATATCTGGTTCCAATTGTTATCCGGGGTGGCGATTTTATCAGACAGCACCTGCTACTACGATCTAATGCAGGGAGGCCCAGTTGAACTTTCCAGAGACGACTGGGAAGCCCTGCGTGTCAGGGGAGTCAAGGTTGGATCCACTAGTGATGAAGGTGGAAATAATTTGTACCAGCCTATTACCACACTGGACAGATCCAGTTCCTCCAGAAGGATCTGGGCGACTCCCATGAAGCATTTGTGGTCCATTCGGCCGTAGTCTCCCCAAACTATTACCTGGAAGAGCACAAAAATACAGGTTCAGCACTGCCCCCAAACTCGTGCTTGTATGTTCGCTCCTGCTGTTACGTGTAGCGTACGGGAAATGTTATTCTTAAGGGTGAGTGATTGCTCCCTCTTGTAGGAAAACCTAATGGCAGGACAGGAGTGAGAGAAAACAAAGGAGAAATGTTTAATGCAGCCAGACATTTCGCAGGTCTCAGACCACAAGCCACAAGGACGTGTTTGCTGGTATTTATACAATTAAATGCTTAGTGAGTTGGAACAGGTTTATGCATATTGCTTAAACTTAAGTAAACATGCAAGCGCTCCTCCAAATGATAGCCTAAAAGGGGATTAAGAAGCAACTGACCTGAAGGACTTTACCCTGCGGACTTTCATCAAAAACCAGTGTCTGTTGGTACAAAGGATCAAGGGTCTTCCGTGCAATTCTTGTCTTCTTCTTAGCTATACATGCTCCATTTTCCAATAAATACACTTTGACATACGGAGCTGCAAACAGAAGATCATGAATTTTATGTCTGGAATTAAAAACCTCTGCATTGCACATCTGAGCTGGAGGACAAATGCCTTAAAAGGAAGCTGAGCAGAAAGAAAATGACACATGCTATCATCACTGTATAATACAATTGTGTTCATAAAATAAATGACACAGACCATAAGAAATGAATTTCATTTTTATAAACTTTGAATGTAATGATCTAAGATGTTACTAACAACAATTCCGTTTCATGTCTGTCATTTCAAAAACACTTTCTTTTGCCAGGAATTAACTGTCACTTTGGAGCCTCTATGTCTGTTTAGGGGTCAGAGATATTTCAAAACAAAAGACTTTGATGTTTCATTGACAGGAATATTTAAAACTAAGTCACTCAGATAACACAGACATTAATTGCTCTTTCATCTTCAGCTGCTAAGGCGGTTGTGAAGTACAATTTTGGCAAAACATTATCTAAAACAGCTGTTCCAGTTGTTACAGTGAGCAGTGGTTGTGGCAGTGATTATACATCTCTTCCAATAACCAGAACTTCAAAAAATGCCCTTATAAAATGATACGGTATTAAATCTCATTCATTGTACAAATTCTGGACACTGGCACTCGCATAACCTGCTGTCTTCTTGAAGCACTGCTGCCTACAGAAGGTTCTGGCATGTGGGTCTGTTAAGCTGTTTGTTCAAAGCACTTTCATCTGTTCTCCATCTCTTGATTTGATGTGGAACAAGCACAGAGGACTTCATCTACATCGACAAAGCCCCCCTGAGATATACAGCTGTGGGACTCGGCCCCGCCGTTTTCGTGATGTCTCAGAAAATTTGCCACCATCTCAAGTCTCACCTCCTGCTTAAAATGGCTGACCAGACAAGATCTGCCACCTGCTCCACTGGGGAGAGACTCACCAAGAACAGCCCAGGGACAACACCTTGGAGACCCGCATGCACCACAGTGATCGGTGTAAAAGTGACTGGTACACAATGGTGGGATTGGTGTAAAAGTGGCTGGTGCAAGTGACTGGTGTGAGCTGATCACCCCATATGGACTCGGGCAGATATAAAAGGAGACTCTGTGAGACTATGTGCATGCACCCACCACCCACTGCTGAAGACCATTGATGGAGGACCCATGGGACGCCATGTGATCCAGGGTGGTGACTATCCCCCCCCCTTTCCTTTTCTAGTACCAATCTATCACACTCTCTTCTTTCTCTCCTCTTTGTTTCCTTCCTTCCTTCCTCCCTTCTTCCTCTCCTTTGTACCATTGGACCATTACTTCCAGAGCTGTTGTGAATAAATCGTGCGCAGCGGAGGTCGGGCTCCAAGCGGGGCTGACTGCATTGCATTTTACAGGCGGGCTCCGAGAGGGGCTGACTGCGTTGTGTTTTCCAAGTTAATGTCATATGACTGTGTGTGAATGAGACATACAAATAAGTACGAAACGAGTGTGGAGTTCTGATCCGCAGTTCTGCTGTCCCGCAAGGGGAGCAGCCGGAGACGAATGAAGCGTAAGAAAGGAGTGAATGTTGATCTTTTAAACAGTTATCACATCTCAACAAATCTATTTTTACTCAAACCCGAATATCTGAACCGAACAACAACTTGTCTAACATACGCAGAAATATTTCTGGAAATGTTCCTTCCAGAACGGATGTTGAGTTGCTGAAAATCATTCCCTGAAAGGTGGCATGCAACTGGCAGATGCCAGCGGACATTGGTAGCATGGATATATCCACGCACACATTCCGTGCTGAAGAGCAAACCAAACAAATGCAAATGCAGTGACAGCTAACGAGGAGCTCAGAAAGTCTCCAGTCTCCAGTTCATCAGCATATTTCACATTCTTGTTTTCTGTTTATATATTTTTTTTCCTTACCTGGGGTAGATTTGGAGCCAGGTTTCTGTGTGAGGCCGCGGGCTCTAATGACTTCTACTTCTAACTGGCCCTTCTTATCCACCATTCCAATCTGGATGTCCCCTGAGAGGGAGAAGAAAGCAGCCCACATTTCAGAGAAGCAGCACAGCCCAGGAGATAGGGTATAAGAGTAAGAAACAGAAAGACTACTTTGCAACGAGTCTGCTGTGTTCGTGGGCTTGTCTCCTCTCCTCCTGATCCTTTAAACTTCTCCACCCTTATACCAGAACTAAAAGATATATGCTTAGGGAACGCCGTGCCCTCTCTTCGTGGATGGTTTACACCAGAGCTCAGTATTTCTGATCTGTGGAGGCTGGCAAATTTATAGCAACGTTCTGGTATCAGTACCACACCTTTACTTTTGCACTGGTGAGTTATCTGGAGATTTCCTATCTCGGTCTGTGTCCCCAACGTGCCAGTCACTGACACGTGCTGCCCTGACAGTGGTTCAACGCTCAGAGAACCTAAAACTCAAACTCTTGTTCAGAAATCCCCTTGCCTGGAAGTTTCTGCCCCCAAGCTGAGATGCAAGAGCTGGCAGTGCAAAGGCTCCTTGGCTGGTGTAGCAGGAAGGAGAAGCGACAGCAGAGGCTAACTTTGAAACCCTCTGTAAGTACAGCTGCTTGGCTTGGTCCTCAGTGTGAGGCAGAGACACCAACCAGAGGAGGCACACACAGTGTCCTAGCACAGCGTCAGAGAATGGTGCGCTCCCCTCCAACAGCTCAAAAGAGGTTGTCTTCTGCAAAAGTCTCCAACGAGTACAGGGGTGACAATTTCCCTGTTTCTATCAATATTCCAGACCCATTTTTGGTGTGAATAAATGGAGGCAACATGTTAAAACAAGAAGCTGCTTTTGCTACTAAGTAGTCAAACTTGTTTTCCTGCCTGAGTTCTGAGAAATGACATTTCCCGCAGAAAAAGGAAACTGCTTAGACTGAGACCAAGCACTGTTCTGATCTAGATCAATAAAATGACAGAGAAGTCAACTATGGGCTGATGCTCAAAGTGTTAACCTGTGTGGTTTCATATATTGGGTAGAAATCTAACAGGCCACTTAGAATAAAAAATGCACAGTGTGACATGGGCAGCTATGTGACACCTGTGCAAATAAATGAGCTATATGTGTATCCACAAAACACCATGTATGGATACATTTGACATATAAACTCAGATTGTCTAAAAACCACACCCACAAACAGACAGTCCTGAACTATAGAAACTGGGGTCCTGATTTAGAAAGACAGCATTTTGAAACGAACTGGGTGTGAGATTTTCACATGCTTGTCAGTATATTAAAGCAGCGTTCATACCTTGGTACTTGAGGTATGGCAGAGCAGCAGGGAAGATTTTTTTTACGAATCAGACTTTGCTTGAGTAAACAGAGCTCTGTGTTGTGTTAAAAATAGTTCACAGAAAAATTCCAACAAGTCTTTTTAAGAGCACATCTCTGTGTCACGTATCCAAAATGAAACATGCGACAGGGAGCCAGGAGGGGGAGCGGTAATACAAACATTTTCAAATCGTCACTAGTGAAAGGATACAACACAGAAGGTCTTCTGAAAATTGTTAAAAAGGATTACTGACTGCTTTTTTTTGGGGGGGGGCAAAACCTGAGCCTTTAGTACAGAAAGTAGTTCTAAGAAGTGAAAATAAAGGTATTGCTGAAGTAATCTGTAGAAAAATATTTAGTCAGAAAACAAGATTAAAATAAAGAAATGGAAGAAATCTCGACCCTTATATTCATACCAATAAAGCCACGTAGATTTTTTTATTGGGCAAATCATCTCACAAATATACTACCTTTCAAAATACTAAAAAAAATGTATTTAACAAGTTTAGTGCTTATTAATGCATTAGTGGCAGTCATTTAGAGCAACACAGCAACCCTAGCCTTAAGGGGTCCTCAAAGCATTGCCAAGGAAGTGTCTGTCTCCTTCTGCTCATGAGTTGGGAGAGCAACACTCTCTTCCACAATTTTTCTTTCTGTTTCTCTCTACTTTTTCCGAAGTGGCTCCATAGCCCCTCCTGAAGCTGATTCTCCCAAGGCAGCTGCACTGAAGCATCGGCCAGTTATAGTTTCCAACAGGAGAAGTATTGTAAAAGTAGGACTCTTTACTTAGCATCCTAAAGCATGTCTCAGAATTGCTCATATATATGAAAAAAAACAAACAAACCATACTTTTCCAAAGATATTTACACAGTGCTGTGCTGTTGCGCACCTTACACGCTCACACTCAATTCATAACCAAGATAATGCAACTACAGGGAATCCCAGACTGGTTTGGAATCCAGAGATCACAGGTAGTCCCAGGCAGCTGCTGTAGAAAAGGATTTTGTCTCTTTCGTGACAAACACTGGCTTTATCAGCAACTCATTATTGGGCATGGCAAACATGGGCAGAAGTTTCACATTCTGGGGTTACTTCAGGATGAACTATGGTTGGACAAGTGCAGAGTTTGGCCAGAAACTGTCTGTCCCATCCAACATAATCTGTGGCAAGTAAATACAGACTCTGAACAGCTGAGATTTTGGAGTGAGCAACTGAAGAAGCCACAATAATTTCAAGTGGGAAGCAAAATGTAACACCTATCTTCAAATTGCAAATGAGATTAGCAGACACCTCACACATGGAGCAAATATTCTTACCTCATTTGGGATGCTAGCATGCCTGGAATACCAGTGACTGCGTATACGACCTTCATGTTTACACTTTGTAAAAGACTTTTTGGTGCTGTAGTCTGGCAGTGCGTGCGTTAGTTAACTGGCTTATTATTTGTTTAACCAAGGAGAACATATTATTCTTACCCATGGCCGGGGTTGCTAGCGTTTGTCGGCCTACTAACTGTGCAGGTCCAAGTCCATCGAGGAAATCACTAAACTGACTGTCAGCGCCCAGCCGCACTCCAGGAAATATTAAGCTGAAGCAAAATAAAAGGTGGTTAAGCAGAAGGACAAGACTAATTTCTATCGTCCTACAGTATTTACCTCCAGACTACTACTGATACAAAGCAAATAGCTCAGGATGTGCAACCAGAAATTGTTCTGCAGCATCAGGAACGAGCTGTCTCCCGTGGAACCCAAAGAAGCGTAGCAAAATTCCACACACGGACCCAAAGTAGTTCAAGAAACACTTCTTGCTAAGGAGCTCTCCAGGAGCAGAAAAGAGCCTGACAGGTGAATAAACTATGAATGACCTTGTATGAGAAAACATAAAAAGCCTCATGAAATTGAATAGTTTATCATTCTATGCTTGATTTACCTTGTAATACTGTTTTATACCTATACGTACATCCAAACCCCATCAGCATCAGTTAGAATAAGGAGGAAAAACAGATGTCCACACTAAATTAATCTCATTTCTGCAGCTGTTTAATGAATCTGTAAACTGGCAGGTAGTACAAGTGTTGATTAGAGTTAAACCTGATGTCAATCCCTTGCCAAAATATTCTGGTAGTCACATCTGGATCTACAGCTGGTACCCACCCCTCTTTCAGGACACAAACTGAACTGTAATACATATGTGCTTTTCCAAGCTGCTTTGTTGTACCTTTAGAAGAGATATACATTCTCCAAACAATAACCAAAGAAACTAACAACAAACAAAATAATAATAGAGAGAAAGAGTGATCCATGGTGGGGAGACTCAGATTTGACTGCCTCATCACAACTATGAGGAGCAGAAGAACAGACTTTCAACAAAATCTGGATAGCATCTTACCCGGCAGGCCATCCAACATTCTATATCTGCTTCTCCCTCAAAGGAAATTCCTTATCAGACTGAATAAAATAATAACAAAATGTCCTAATAAAAACATCTAATACAAAAATCTTTGATTTCCACAAATCAGGCTTATGTGCCCCAGTCATTCAATTCACACTGAAAATTCTCCGCAAACTCCAGTTAGTTGGATAGAAAAAGCCCATTCCTCTCTTCAAGGCTAACTGCTCTTACTATGCCTGCATAAATGTATAGACTGCCTGTAATTAAAGCTGGCCAGAAAATATCAGCAGAGTGCTTTTCACTAGAAAACTCTGATTTACCAAAAGATAAGCTTTTCACAGAAGTTTAGTTTTAAATCATATCTGAGAAGCTTCCTTTAGATGGAGGAGGAAAAGAACCTCAAAGTCTCCAGTTCAGCCATCAGCCTACCGGTAACGGCTTTCACCTAACCTTGAGATTCAGGTTCAAGGCCCCACCTGACAAGACACACGATCTGCTTCTCTCCCCCGTGGCACTACCCAGTCACTCTGCCTCTGCTATGAAAAGTTTCTTGCTCATTCCTTTGCCCTTTTTCCCCAAAAAACCTGTTACGTTTTGCTATGGAATGATTAACATCATTGAAAATCTTCACTTTAAGAGCCTTCTCACTTTTCAGACACTTCTAGCTATACAAATAATTAAGGGTGTGAATTACTCTAGTCACCTTAATGCACATTAATTCTAATTCATTAAACTCAGGTTACTTGTCAAGCAGAAGAACATAATGTAGCACCTGGAGTAGCTACAGAATTCTCAGCTGAGCTACAGATCTGATTGGACTTACGAAATGCAGGAGGAGGCATGATACTGTCAATAAACTACGTGCTCCTGGAAGAGAAGTCAGTATCATAATGCACACACACAAGGAAGGAAAAGCAGCCTGTGCAAACTGAACACAAGTACTTCCCAATTGTCGTCATTACCCACCTACAGTAATGTCAAAAGTGAACTGAAGAAAAAATACTACTCAAGCAACCAAAGTCAAGCTCTCACTGATTTTGATGGAAGTCTCACAGGAGACAGGAAAAAACTAGCAAACAGCTTCACTGTCCAAATGTAGGGGAAGTCTGAATATAAGGTGCTATCAAAAACTGATTCATGCTCACACTAGAAATAACATCTCAAGTTAAAGGTGACATTTCTAGCACCTGAAAAAGGCCCAGAAGGAGGAGGGAGAGAGGGAGTGGATTTTAGGATCAGCTGGCACAGTGCATGTACTCCTGATGACGTGACGCCGTTCTGCAGCTTCCCTCCACCTTGCAGTTGAGTCCGACTCATGTTCTAACAATCGCGCAGTGATGCACATAGGGGAAGTGATCACACAGTAGAAGATTGTTTAATTGTTCATCTTTCTTACAAGAATCTCTGCATTTAACATTCTTCTTTCTCTGTGAGCTAAACCCAGAGCTGCTGTAAACTAACATTACTCTATCAGACTCCAGTAAATTCACAGAGCATCTGAGGATTTCATCTATAGCTAAATCACAGAATCACAGAAGACTTCAGAGAAGTTTTCTAAGCCACAAAGCACAGCACCACAATAAACAGAGGCCTGTGGTATCCCTTTTGCCTATGGCATTGTGTCCTGTTTACAGAATGTTTCTCCTCCTGCATAGCAAAAAGATATATTTAACTGTTTCACCTGAGTTTTGGTATCTGCCGCTTTTGGCCCATTCTCCTGGGCCTCCCTTCAGAGCCATTGCTAGCTATTTGTGCTCTTCTCACGTCACCGGCCTCACTGTTTCTTTACTCTTGCCAGCGATTGGAACAGGGATGTGGAGATCAGGGAGAGTGGTTAAGGCTAACATCAAGTGCAAAATGGGTTTGAAGTCAGGAAATGAAGTTCAGGTACACTGTGGATCAGGAATCAACCAGGAGAGCTGGTAACTATCAAATCAAAAGTCTGGGACAAACAGAGTGAAAAGTTAGAGAGCTGGTGCCAAAAGTATGGATCAGAAAAGCAGGACAAATGGTCAGACGCAAAGAAATCTATCATGTGAGAGAGCTGAGAGAGGTAAGGAGCCTCGCCATGGGCAGAACTGGTGCTGGGGTAGCAAAAGATGAGGAGCAGGCACAGGAGCTAAGAAGGCAGAAACAAGACATAAGACGCAGATAGCATGACTCCCGGCTTATGATAGCTCGCTTTACTTTGAAGACTGACCTACTTCTAACAGATAATTTTGAAACTAAGTCCCAGTATACACAACCAACCTGCTATATGTCCCAGTAAGAACCAAGCACTCAATTTACCTCCCAGGCTTGCTCTCTTCACTGCCTTGCTCAGAGGCTGGTCCTCAACAGTTTAAGGCTCTGCCTTGCAGTTTCTCCTTTCCAGATGCTTGCTGTGACCTCCAGATCCAGACCCTGGACACCCAGCCTTGCCAAATCTGTTTAAACTCTCTGAAGGTGCAGCAAAGCATTAGGATGTTCCCCTGAAAAGGTCCTCACTGTCAGTGCTGGGCTTCCACCTCTCCCGTATTGCTAACCAGGGAAATGTGCTCTCTCAGCTCCTCCTTAGCAGGGTCCAGCTTATTGGGTCCTTCATCACCATGGTGAGTGACCAGTCCCTCACAGACTGACACTCCAGCCTAGAGACAGGATGTGGGATGGCAGGATGAAGACCTGAAGGGTAAAGGTAATGCCCTAGATTCATACTGGAAAAAATACTAGGGTGTTTTACTTTTGTCCTACGCTCTTAACTGCTTGCTTAACTACTTTATCTTTGAGTTATCCATGATGGAGCCTTTTTTCTTACACAACTCCTGTGATTCTTAGCATAATCATAGAATGATCTGGGTTGGAAGGGACCTTATAGATCACCTAGTTCCAACCCCCTTGCCACAGGCAAAGGCACCTTCCACTAGACCAGGTTGCTTAAAGCCCTGTCCAGCCTGGCCATGAACACTGCCAGGGAGGGGGCAGCCACAGCTTCTCTGGGCAACCTCTTACAGTGCCTCGCCACCCTCGTTGCAAAAAAAATGAGTGGTGAGATCATCTGATGATGGAGAAACTGCACCTTTACACAGCTCCTCGGCACCACCACGGCTACTCCAGCTCTTCATGCCTTGTATAATGTACACTAGCAATTGTTGCAACATGGTAACCATATAAAAAGATGAAGCCAAAGAAGTTCCAAGATCTAATTTTTTTCTGGTCTGCAAGGTGGATTTGACTACCCCCGGTTTTTCCTTTTGTGGCTAAGCATCTTCTAAGAATTCCCTAGTGACCACTGTGCCCTGGCACATGAGGTCAATCGCACTGAGAGCTGTGAGGGGATGGAGTATTCCTGGAGGCTTTTGTGTCGGATCTGCCTTTGTTCTCCTTTCCTACATACTGAGTCACTCAGCAGTGAATGAAAGCAGCTGCCCCATTCCCCACAGTCGTCTGCCCAATTTCAGCTGATGGGGCAGCTGGACTCCAGGTTTACAATTCTCAATAAGAGACCTGGACCAACTCCAAACTAAACTTTCTTTGTATATAGTATTACTGAACAGAGTTTCGTATCACAGGGTTTTACATACAACATCAGAAGTTTAACGCTGAGTTAATCCAAACGTAACTCAAAGAAAAAGTACCTCTATGTTTTGTTTTGAATAATGCAGACTGAATTTAGTTGTCTTTTGATGAACAAAATGCCTCACCGGATGACAGGGAAAATGTGAATCCCCAAGAATTCCTCTTTCTGTTTCAGTTTTCCAGAAATTTGTGTTATTTGCTTAAAATAGTTCAGTTTTGCAAACATTTCAAGAGGTACCCCCTTCAACCAGAGCTGGGACCTCTGCTCACATCCCAAGTTTTCTCACAAAGACAAGAAACTTCTCCTACATTGCCGATGTTTTTAATGCCACTTACTTGCCCTCAGAGCTATAACTATTTATGCTGCCATCAGTGGATTCTCGACTTGGCTGTCGAACCATACGACTTCTCATCTCTGCTGCCATTCCTGTCTCTGTGCTTCTCTGTATCGTGCTCTTTAGCTTCTTGTTGCCAGCCTCTGAAAGCAGAGAAAAAGAAGTGATAGTTAGAATAACAACTCAGAGCAAAGCCTTTCCTTGCAGTTTTCCTCCAACAGCAGTGATCTGACTTGACCATTACTATTTAAGAACATAAAAAGTCTATTCCGACTGAAGAAGGAATCTATCTTCTTCAGCTGCAAACTGGTGGAGGCCTCTCTTCAAAAGGGCTGCAGCTGAGGGCAAACTTTTAGAAATCATGTGTCTTATCAATAACCTTTATACAGTCGGAATGCAGAGAGGATGACTGTGACTGTCTGCTAACCATACACTCAGTAAGGTGTCTCTAGCCACCTTGTTGGCTAGGTGACTATAAAAGAACTTACAACTCTTACAGAAAAAAAAGAGGAAAAAAAAAACCCTTCATGCATTTGACAGAAAGATATTACGTACTAAAATACTTAGTACCAAAAATGTAATAAAGTGTTTTGACCCAGCAAAATCTTACTTTTAACCACAGAAATTCTTCAAAGTAAACAATAAGCTTTATATAACTTCCGATTTCAGCACTTCCTAAGTAGAATTAACTCTCTGGAGATCCATGTGGAAGATGATGGACTTCACAGTGTCTAGGCTTGCAACTGAACACTAGATGTAACTGCACGCTAGAGAGTAATATAAATCTTGTGAAATTGTTTAAAGACTTGATCCATTTGGAAAAGCTTCCATCACACATTCTTTAAAACGCAATTTGAGTTCCACCGGGAAGGTTTTGTGCTACCATTGAGCAAGGAGAGCTTCCAGTAGTTCACAGGGGCGGTTCTGAGCTTGAGGATCAATGGCTGATCTACAGTGAATTCTGCTGTTGCGTGGCAGAAAGGCTGCTTCTAAATGACGACATTCCTTCTCAAAGTCCTTTAACTGAAACACTTCCACCAAAGCCTCTATGTGATGTAATAGTGTGTTGACTTCAGACTCAGTGTCCTGTTCATTTTCATTTAGCTCAGCCTGTCATTCAATGGGTAACACTATTTTCTCTCAGGAAGTAGTAGATTTGCCAAAGTTTCATATAAGTGCATGCAAAAAACGTTCTCCTGCATTTGCCCCTTCATTTCAGTGCCCCTTCATTCACTGTCTGTGAAGTCTCTGCTTCCTCTTCACAGTCTGCTGAGGGGAGCATCTGAAAAAGTAATTGTTTCTTCCACCTTCGCCTTCTGCGGAGACTGAATTGCTCTGAAAAAATTTTCGCTCTCCTGTTTCACATGGACATTATCAATGTTTGAAGCTGACAGACTGTGATCTCTCTTCACATAAAAGTTGCAGCTTTGGTAGCCCTGGCACCACCTGCCCATCGCTCAGGGTGATTAAACGTGCTGTGGAGATCAGCTGGCTCTTGCTCTTTGGATCTGCAGAGCTGGTCGAGGCCAGGGAGAAACCACACAGGAGAGAGCAGCTCCCCTTCCCCCAGAGTTATCACAGTAACCGCTTTGGAGTTAGCAGAGAGACAGCAAACACGGCCAAAACAAAAAAGAAAATTCATTTATTGGGCTTAGAAGAGACAGCATGACAGCAAAAGGGGCTGTGGTTTTCCTCTTAAGCCTTCTGGACCGGGTGTTGTTTATCTGTGGCCACCCAGGAGCAGAGAAACAAATGCCTCTGACTGGAAGAAATCAGCTGCTTCCACAGATCCTTTACTCCCTTCTGAAGCCAACAGCTCTGAGGCTTTGCTGTGGGCCACTGCAACTCATCCGTGTTCCCAGGCCTTGGTCAGCTAAAACCGCCTTACCCAGTGCTGCGAAACGTGAGGTATTTTAGGCTAGACAAGGTACACCAGGCAGACCAGGCTCCACTCTTAGACAGTGCAGGTGGCTGTGGAAAGTATTTGCTGGAACTTCACTGACTTTGTGTGTAGAAAATCAAATGCTACATTTTGGACCTGAGCTTTATCTTTGAAAATATATGGTGTGTCCAGCACATCAATGCTGAAAGGTAAAATGAGCATCAAAAATGAATCAAAAGGCAGCCTAGGAAATATAACCCACATGCAGAGCCCTATGCCAAAGCTGGATTCTCACATTTTCAGTAGCTACACATTTGCCATCCATATTGTTTTGAGCCTCTCTCTCTCTCACTAGGACCTGTCTGAAAGGGCTTCTGTTTCCATCTGCTGCCACAAAGCAGGTGAGATTATGTGGTTTACCCACTGCCTTCTTTTCCAGAGCCATTCAGATCAAGCAGCGTGGCTGGAAGGACACAATGTGGTAAAGCCTGAAATGTGGGCAGCTGAATAGGGTTGGCTCTGCGTATTCGCAGCTCAGGAAATGGGAGTGATGAGACGCTAAATGTAGCTACAAGAACATCATGACCTTGGCACAAATTGGGAAAGAGATGCTGCTCTGGACCTTCTGGACAACACAGTGGGTGCAGAAAGCATAATGAAGAACATATTCATAGAAATAATCCCAGTAAAAAACATGCATCAACTAAATTATAGAAATGAATATTTTGGCTTTGAGCCACAGTACAGATTGAAAATAGCAAGTGTGTTGTTTTGAAAGAGTAGTTTTATATTATCATGGATAACATCCATGTTGCTGGTTGAACATAGTTCTTTGCTCCCCAGGTTTTAAATTCACAGACCGTGAAGTAGGAATCTTTGTACATGGCCACAATCAAGTCCACAACCTTGTCTCACTGTGCTGCAAATACCAGATTGTCTTTTTCCCAATACTCTTCACGTCACTGCTCTCTATCTTACTGTGCTGGATTCCACAGCTTTTTTTATCCATATTTTTTTTTCATGTTGAAGATTAAAAAAAAAAAATTCTTTTGCCTCCCCTTCTAACTGCTACAAATATCCACAACATTTCCTGGGAAAACTTCAGAGTTCTCCTGCATATTTCATTTTATAACCTCAGTCTTAATATTCTGCAGTACAATCAGAAATATGACTTGAAAGTAACACAAGACAGAATGGTAAAATACATCAAGAGTTTTATAGCATACAGGGAATTGCTTTTGCCCATGACTAAGAACCGAAACACAAATTACACAAGGTTTTGGAAGTTTTAACCTTGGTCAGTTATGCATATCATAATTTTTTTGGTCTACTTGTAGCACAAAAAGTAATGAGAACACTTTAGCTTGTTGGCATATGCCTGTAAACTTCTCAGTAGACCCCTGTTCTGAAAGGGAGGGAGGTGGATAGCACACAGCCGAGCTGGGAACCGCTGCTGTTTCTAAAGGCACCCCGGTCACGTGAAGTCACTGGGTACAACTTCCAGTCCTGCCTTGACTGCACGCACAATGAAATACGGGATCCAAACAACTACCAGTGTTTCTCCTGCTCTTGATAATTTATTTTGTTTCAAATTTCATTTTTGTCTTTTATTACTTTTAATCTAGCATTTCTGCATATGTCTTTAGAACACTGTCTTAATATGAACAGTACAAGTTCATAAAATTTTTAAGTTCAATATCTATGCTGTGATATATTGAGAAGATTTTCTACTCTTGTCTGGATATCTATTGGAGAATGCTTTGTCCTGCTCCTGATTTTTATTAGCTTGATATGTACAATTATATTTTATAATATGTTACAATTATTTGCCCGCACTGTGTAAATTACACCGTACTCATTGTGCAGACTGAAGATAAACTGTCTCTATACTGAATACCATTTAGGGGCAAAATTTACTCCAAAATGGTCTGTGTGCTTCTGTCGGCTGTGTCAGTTGTGTAAGGCTTTCTGCATGCAGAAATGCAGATTGATGTGCATAAATTGCGTTTAAACACATCATTTAACAGGTACAAGCTAGAGAGAAACTATCACAGAGCAATTGTAATGAACATTGTGGCAGATTTAATAACTGATGCAAACAGGTCGTAAAGCAGCTGTTTGTAGCTACAAAATACACACAGCTTGTAAGCATTGTGCAATTCATCAACAGCCTTGTTGTAGCACCCCTGCTGCAATACACCAATGAGCGTGTGCAATGTGCCATTTCGGTCTACCTATTACAAATATAGCCTACAGCGATTCCTTTTCGGTCTGACAAGAAACTGGTCCCTGCTTTTGGTTTTCTTTCTCAGACGAAAGTGTACTAATGGTGATCCTGATCTAAGTAATGATGAATAGCAAAAAAAGCAAGCTTGTTAGCGTATGTGCTTACATTTGCACAAAATACCAATGTAGTTGATGGGTCCCCAATTTCTGTACTTCCTAACCACCTTGAAGTATAGCAGCCAGGAGCAAAATGCTATGGACAACAGAACTGTATTAGCGAGAGTGGTTCAGTGATAGTCTCTACAGAATTAGGGTGCCTACCAGAGATACCTCCAGGCTGTCTTTACGTTGCTAAAGGCATCCAATTCAGAGAGGGGAACACCAGGACAAAGGGCCCAAAATGGCTTGTCTCTGTGACCAGCCCCAGCAAAGGTGTGACTGTGCAAGGCAGCGCCATTGGCCTAGCTTTCCTCTGGTCTCCATGCAGTGCCTGGAGGCAATTACTACATTTTGCTCTTGTTTTGGTATAGCAAGGCTGAAATAACAGGAGGGGGTGCGCCACGGCTTGCTGGAGTAAAGCTTTTATCCTGTGATGCCACGGTGTGTATTACACGCCATGGGACGAGGCCAGGGGACACCCAGGAACATGCAAGGACACAGGCTGGGCAACTCAGTCAAGAGGACACCATTAGAGACCTCTGTAGGACAGAACAAAACAAGCCTGGTACGTTCTTCCGTATACAGCCTGTAGGGAGAGGTGCCTTGAGTGAGCGTTGCCCAGAATCATACCTGAGGGCAGCTAGTTGCTTAGTACCAAAAAAAAGAAGCAAATTTACACACATGCAGGACCTGGGTACATAGCATAGAAAATATGTGACGGGTTCAAAAGAAGGCTCCAGCGAACAAAGCATACACCACTGCTAAATCCGCGAATGAAAGGGAGAATAAGGAGGGTGCTAACACTCAATGTCATTGCATGACTCAAGGGCAAATTATTCACGGTATCAAGCATGCTCATGCATCTAAAGAAAGCCT